TGTTACAAATGCACCTCTTGAATGAGATAGATGGCTTTCTGAAGTGAAGGAGGTTTATCGTCACTTACATAGATACGCGGTACAGTAAGTCCCCAACTTACAAGCAAGTTCCCTTCAGGGAGAATGTTTTTAAGTCCAACAAAGTGAGTCTTATACTCCTTTGACACAAATATGCAAGGTAAATCATTAAAAAAAACCAACAACAACGCACATACACAAATACTGTAAATAAACTATTTGTACTTTCACAGTTACCTTAAAGTGGTGTTGCAGTGCAGTACAACTGTAAATAAGTTGTTTTCATGGTTATTATTTTATGCTTCCTAGCCATCCCCTCCCTGTCACCACTGCTTTACGGCCTACTTCCGTACATCCGGGGCTCTGACTAAGCACGACACTGCTGTACACGGTCGCACTGTACAGCGAGCACACAGCAGCGCAGCTATGCCAAAGTCCAGCAGACCGCTAAGCCGGTTTCCATGATTTGTTCGCATCTACCGATGTTTGGATGCTCCTAATGCCGAGTCCGTTTGTATCTGTGAAAGTTCACAAGTCAAATGTTCATTAAGTCAAGGACTTACTGCATTATATTTCTTTTGTATAATGCTGGTCTGAAGCACACAGTATCATGCCAAATTCTCTCACCAATCATAAAATGCAGTATTCCTGCTCACTTAGTAATTCTTGCTCAAGAACAAGAGGAAGGCGAGTATGCCTGGGCATTTAGAGCATCCCGCTGTTACGCTATCAAGTCCTTCAGGTAAATAAAGGAGGTGTGGGAAAACCTTGAACTGTCTGCTCATCAACCAGGTTTGCACATTTGATTGAGAAATAAGTTTTAATACATATTAATAGTTTGCAAAAGTTTGTATTAAAGACTAAAGTACTACAAGGGTGAGTCAGCAACCAGAAGAATATGCACATTGAAATGACTCTTCCTAACAGCATAGACCAAAGTGTTTCCCCTTTCTCTAGTCACTGTCTTAAATCTGAAAGACTACCAGAGACAGCCTGTCCACACTGCCAGTGTTCCCCACCTCTGCCCATTGGCCACAGCCACAAAGCCACCATCCTCTTTCCCCACCTAGTGAGAGTATTGTTTCCGCCATGGACCAGCTGAATTCATTCACATTTGATACCTTACTACAAATTTCTCAACCAGCTTCCACAATGACCCCCTTTAAATCCAAGTCAGATTTTGTCATTTCTCTGCCCTAAATCCTCCAGTGGCTTCCTACATCAGAGTAAAATCCAGAATCCTTATGATGACGTTCAGAAAGCCATCACTATCTTGTCCTCCCTCCCCATAGCCTCCTGGATTTGGGTTAGTACTGATCTTGAAACACATCAGAAACTCCTCAATGTGGGTTGTGTACTTTCTGTTTCATTGCCTTAAACCCCTCCTTGAGATTTCTGTGGCCTGTGGATTCTTTGCTTCAAGCATCTATACCCAAGAGGGCAGCCTTCCCTAAATTCTGATGTGAAACTGAATCCCCCACCACCTGCTAATCTCTTCTCAGAGCACTTAGTATCACCTGCCTCATAGGATATCTGTGTGTTTATTTTGCCTTCCCCTTTAAATACAAAAGACCACTGGATAGAGAATCAGTCTCTCCTGTTGGTCACTGCCTCTCCAGGTATTACAGCAGTAGTAGCCACAGGGGCACCAGCAAAATTTGTGAAATGCATGAAAATAATGAAAAATCACATAGAAGCACATACATGTACAGCACTAAAGTGATTGGTCCAAGGTCACAGATAGTCTAAAACAAAGTCTTTGGCTCCAGGTTTAATTAATCTAACACAAGGTAAACTAGAGAACTTATTACAGCAGTACATGGAAAGATTAATGGTATGAATAACCACACATTTTGATCCTTTCCACAACTACTGGTTCCGTGTACAGATTTCACAGTCATTTCATAGATAATTTCAACTAAATCTCCTATGAAATGCTTCAGAAAATACATTTCCAATGTTCAGTGTAGGAAAGTTTGAAGATAGTATGGCGCAAACAACATAACTGAAGATTAGGCTGTAGCAGTAGTCCACCATCTCTCTAGAAAATCAAACAGCTTCTCAATGTTCACCAATAGAGCACATAGAAAGGTATACATTTGCCAATGCCTTTCAGAGAAAGACTATCCTGTGATTTGTGTTTTATTCTCCCTACCAGAATTAAATATTTGTTTCCTGAGCCAGTGCACTAATTATTCAGAATGGGTCATTGTTTCTATTAAGCCTATGGGTTCATGCATTTCAGAGTCAACTGAAAGGCTCCCTCATGTCAACTAGTGGTCTCTTAGATACCTGAATGCCCTATTTCCTTTAAGTCTCCTGCACTTCATTATTATTTGCTAATTTAAGGGTGTCAAATTTTGGTTCGTCCTCCAGTGTACAAGAAACTTAATTGCGGTCCCTGACCTTAGTACTGCTCCTTAACGATCCTCACCGACATGTCACGTCATTCTCACACTGAAGAAGGCTGAGTAGGACATTACAAATTGGGGTGTGACTTCTGAAGTGGGTCAGAAGGACGCTGTGGCTGTCATTTTGCTCCCTCAAATCACACACACACACACACACACGAACAGCTGAGAAGCCTGTGAAAAGGCCACCACGTTAAGAAACTAAGGTCTCCTACCAATGACCAGCACTACATGAGCAAGTCTTCTTGCAGAAGACCTTGTAGCTTCTGCCGAGCCTTCGGATGAGTGCAGCCCAGCTGACAGCTAGAACCCTTTAAACCAACTCAGATTACATCATTACTCTGCCTAAATCCTCCAGTGGCTGTAGCCAGAATCTCTCACCTAAGCTACTTCTGACTTCCTAATGCAGCAAACCATGCAAGATAATAACGGTTGGCTGTTTCTCAGCCACTATTTTGGAGTTCATTTGTTCTGTAGCAATAGGGAATTAATACATTACAATCATAAGCATCTTAGAAGAGAGGATACATACTATCATGCCCCTCCTTGATATTCTACAAAGCAACAAAGTAGCCACAATCCCCACACAGCACGATTGTAATCTCTGACAAACATTCCAAGACAATCAAACCAAAATCCTTAGACTACATTGATTCTGAAAAGTAGGCTTATCTTGGTTGCTAGGTTTCTTCCCAAACATGGTTTGAGTAAAATAATTCTCTAGGCTGATTTATTCAATAATCTACAAAAACTAGGGAGCCAGAAGTCAATATTTCAATAAGCCTAAGTATTAACCCAATCCCACTTTTAGTTTATGCACATGAATTAGCTCTCTCTTTCTTAGATAAGTTTGACCTTCATGGCAAGTTCTATTACTGGATTTTGAAAGGAATGAATTGCTTTGGTGTGATTTCATTTTTAAGTCTTCAAATTGCAAGACACTAAAATTGCACTCTATTAGAAGAACAAGTGTGGTTAATACCCGATTACATTTTCCCTACTGTGAATGGGGAAAAAAGAAGAAAGGCTGCTTTTTCGTACCACATCTATACTGAGTGGATAGATGTATTTTCTCTTAGAAGAAAAACATGTAGTAAAACTGGAAAATTAATTGGGTTAATATGCTCCTATCAGGAAAATCTTTTACTTATATTTGTCTACACAGACGCTGAGAAAAGGAATAAAAAAATCCAACTACTTTACCATTCTCACAGGAATATCTAGTAACAATTGTGTCCATAAAATCAACTCAAGCTAAAATAGTGCCTGTCTCTCATGATTCAGCTATCGTTATGGAATTAAGAGAGTCTACAAACAGAGAAAAGAATATAATGCAGATATTGTGAGTCTAAAAGTTCAGCTTTACCTGAAATATCTTTCTTAAAACATTATATTTGATTTCAGGTGGTAAGAGCCAAAAGATACTTCTATCTAATATATTTCTGCTTTCAAATTCCCTCTGCTCTTTCTTCTTTTCAAATGCCTTGTTTAAGCTTTGCCTGAAGATGCTGTTTCCAAATATTAAATTACAATGCCTTGTCTGATCTCCTCTTTGAATTCTTCATCAAGGGGAAGCCCCTCTTTAAAAGTCTCTTGCTGAATGTTACTGTCCAAAGACTATCCAGTATTTTAAAAAGCTGCAACTCTAAAAATGTTCGTGCGCTTACAGCTGTGCCCCCAACCCACCCAGCACAATTTCCGGCACACTTTGTTTTCTTTCCTGGTGCACGACTGAACAGACTTGTTTGTAGAGGGCCACACCTGCATGACGCTATTCCAGCCAGGTGACTACAGGAGGACAGAGAGAGCCCACCTCCAGGACAGCTGACCACCTTTCCATGCTGTGTCCTGCTGTGACTCAATATAAATGAGCCAGCGTAGTGCGCGTAGTTTTGAAGAAAGGTATAAGGAGATCGAATCTGTGAATCCAAGATTTAGAAAAAAGCATCCAACCCAGGCACTTGCCCTGGACTTTGACCTGAACAAGAAAGAAGCTCTTATCACGTGAAGCCACTGAGATTTGGAGGTTATGTCGATAACAGCTGGAGTCATCTAACACGACTGAAATATAGCACTGTACAAGAAAATTTCCATAAAAATACTTTTAAAATTTGCATATAACTGTGGAATATCTTCCGTGTGCCAGGCACTATCCCAGGCAAATCGAGTTTATAGTAAAAGAGAGAGCAGATAAGATGTAAAATGGCAATTGTAAAATTGTATCTTGGGTTTGGCATAAGAAGTGTTGTAAAGAAGCTGAAGGAGGCAGTGCAAGAGAGACCGACTCACAGCAGTGCTTTGGATGGGCGTCTCTACAAGGATATTTGAACTGAAATCTGCTGATAAGGAGCCACAGTTTCCAGTGCAGGAAGGCGTCTCATCCAAACGCTTTGCTCTGGGGGGTTTCTGACATTGCAGAAAAGGCAAAAGAAGTGAGCGAGTGGGAGGTGATAAAATGAGAAGTGAGGTTGTAAGGCGTAAGATCGGCAGGCCAGAAGGGCTCATGGAAGGATTTCGTAGCCATGCCAACAAGGTGAGACTTTATCGTGAACATGACAACGAACCAAAACATTCCAGAAAGGATGCATCTCACGCTGAGAAATGGTGACGTACTGTAGAAGATTTGAAAAGGAGAATAACAATAACAAAAGGTTAGCTGCTGCCTTCTCTCCCTCACACATCTGGGCTATCTCTACTTTTTACTGTCTTTGAGATAAAAACTAAAAGTAACACAAATTGTTCCCGGGACAGAAAGGCCAGTTACATCTGCTGGCAGGTAATCGATCACATCCGGTGGGTACTGACCAGTTTTACATGTGTTAAGCAAATTCAGTTCAACATCTCATGGGCTGTTTTTCTGTGGTATTGTTGTTGTTGTTGTTGTTGTTGTTGCTTGGGTTTTGTTTTGTTTTTTTTTTTATTCTCCTTTGAACCAGCTGTAGTATCCTATTGATTCCCTCATTCACTCATAATGGAAATAAAATATCTGACCTATCTTCCTTATACTGTTATCCATTTTAATGTTGCCTTTTCTAAGCAGGATCATTCAGCAGCATAAATGACCTCCAGGGCAGGGTCCTCTGCTGCCAAAGGAACATTCCACCTGCCTGTCACCCAGTTCCAGCATCCGCTTGTTGGAGTTAAACAAATCAACACAATTGCACAGCTAATCCCAAACCTACTACACCAATAACTACCAAAAGGAATCTTTAAAATGCTGTTTGGCGAGGTACAAATGACAGAACAAGGTACAACTCCACTATATCCCTTTCCGTGGGAGATCCCTACAGCTTCCCTTCCTCTGTTAGCCGCTGTTCCCTGTCTACACCGGGGTCATACACACACGAGCCTCTCCTTCTCCTCCTAAAGAACCTCAGCAGGCTACGGGAAAGGAATAACAAGAACAAACGTGCACCAGGTAGTAGCGGTGGAGGTGGCTCCTGAGAAAAGTGGTCTGCAAACCCGAGCTTCCTCTCCTCAGAGGGAAACACTGATGAATAAAATACGCTAAGCACCTTTTGATACCTTGGTTCCATCTGCTGCTCCACTGCATCAGCAGAGTGGAAATGGCCCCACTGGGGCAGGACTGCTTTCGGGTTTTACCTTGTAAAAGAGGACATCAGAGGAGCCTGGGCAAGTTGCAGATGCTGGTGTCGCCTCCACACTTCCAGAATTTCCCATGGCAACGTTTCCGTGTGTTTTGCAACCTCGTGTCTTTGCTAGAATTTTGGAAGCTACATTAAATTTAAAGCGTGCATACATTCTGAGTTCCAAACGAATGTGGGATAGAGTTTATTAAGACATGGTAGTTATTAAAAATGTGGTGAGACAAATGATATCCAAGAACCTCTTGGGTGGATCCCAGCCGGCCTGCGATTTATTCTTGGGGTGGTGTTTCAGGACCTTCCCCTGGGAGCAGCAACTGTGATTGACTTCGACCTCACCTTCTCCCTCCGCCCTCTGCACAGCTCACACTGTCACACTGGATTGGACTGATGACATCGGATTTGCTTTTACTTTAATGAAAATGCCACATGCTTAAGAGACATTTTCTGTGTTGTCTTGGTGTCAAAAAAGCTACAAAAATTCCCAATCATTTAGATAAACTTTATAGGGAGGTGACCAATTTGTCTCAGTGTTGTCATTCCCTACTAGAAGCTTGAAATCAATTTTGTGCCTCAGCTAACACTAATGTCAGGGGTTACTATGTCCCTGGGTTTTCCTACACCACTCCCTCTCCAGCTTTGTCTTTACCCCTACTTTTGAGTTTGTTACCTTGTATTTTCCTTCGTCCTTGAACCTGCACTCTGCTGAAACATGGCAGTACTAAGAAAAACATATGGGGAGAAATATAACTAAAACATTAAATACAATGGAATACTATTTGGCCTTTTAAAAAGAAAGAAATTTTGCAACATACAGTAACACCAATGAGCCTTCAGGTGTCAGGCTGAGTGAAATAAGGGAGACCCAGAAGACAGATATGGTATGATGCCACTTATCCACTCATTTAAAATAGTCAAATTCATTCAATCAAGGTGGAATTTGGGTGCCTGGGGCTCAGAGGACGAGGAAATTGGGAGCTAAGAATCACTGGGCATAAAACTTCAGTTAATAAGATAAAAAATAGTTCTAGAGATCTGCTGTATAACACTGTAGCTATCTAGCTACAGCCCATGTTAGCGTCAGGTACACTTAAATTTTTCTTTAGCAGGCAGATTGCATGTTAAATATTTTGCCTCAATAGAATAAAATTTATAAAAATATTAAATAACCTAACAAAGTCACCAGATCTACCAAGTAATAACTTTAACTCTGCCTCTGTTGCCATTAATCTCAAATATATACTGTCATTTTAGGTATTAATGAAAGCAGTGTCTTTTTTTTTTTTTTTTACCAGGGAACCAACTTAGGACCTTGCACTTGTGAGGCAGGCAGGGGAACTACTAAGCTAAAATCCCTGGCCCCAGTAAGTCTTATCTAAATGAAAACTTCAAGCGGACTCTTTTCAATGATGGAAGGATACATTCCAGCAGCACTAGTTGACACCCTTTTCTTGGATACAGTTTCAGATTGAGCCACACAACTTATTTATAATGACTGGAGCTGATGGAAGGACTGTTCGTGGTAAGTCAAAGAAATCCAGCTCAAAATGGAGAGAGCAAAACTGGAGGATATTAGCTTGTGCAGTGAACATACAAACAACCAGCTCCAGGTTTGGTTGTATCCAGAAGCATCATCAATTATTTTATCTCTAGGCTTGGCTTTGCTTGAATTTGTTCTATTTACATGAAGTCTCTTTCAGCCCAGAGCTAATTCTCCAGCACACCAGGCTTATATCTCACCTACCAGTGTAGCAAACCGTGAATAGTGTTAGAACACATTTATAAAGTCTTCATATAGATAATATGGTTATATTATGTAATAGAAAGAATGGTTTTATTGTCATTAAATGGTGGCTTGATTTTTAAATGAATAGTTAGAAGACAAATAGTTAAGAGACAAAAATATATTTATAATATATTTTGACAATAAAAGACTCCATAAGGAAGAAGCTTCCTCTGGAACACAAATAACCTCTGCTGAAGTTCTATCCAGATTACCTAGGACTCCTTTTTTCTTTGATTCAGTTTTATTTATCCTGCAGGCATTTAGCTGCCTTTACACAATCAGTGCCCTTGTTTTTCTTATATTTTCAGTTTCAAGTCACTGAGCCAAAGCCCATGATGAATGGCTGTTCCATGACTTCCTGATTTCAATTTTTTGGTAAGTAAACAATACTAGTATTTATGGTTAATATACTTAAAATATTAGAGGAAAACAAAACAAGGTAAGAAAGGCCAATGAATTCTGGCAATAAAAGAGGGTGAAACAATTTGGCAAGCTCACTGGGTCTTGGCTGAGGGGTTTTTGGCCCCGAGGAGGAGTCATAACTGCCAGGCTAAATCAGGGCAATCATATGGATGCATTTATAATAGCAAAGTTGGTTTTGACTAAAAAGATAAAATCTGCAAATACACACACTGCCCCAGCAACAACCATTTCACCTTTACTAAGTATCTCTGGAGACAAACAAGATTTTCTGTATATACACACACGTACACATGCACATGCACACACACACACACATTTTTCTGATTCTCTAGTGACTCCATTTTCTCTTGGCACTGAGGTTAAAATGGCAGGTTGGAGAGGGAGTAGAAAAAGCTATACTCTCTGCTCTTTGACCATATCTCTAAACAGACCCTCCTCCGACTGCCTCCTAACAAAAGTCCTTCCTCTCTTGGGTTACATGAAGTGAGAGGAAGAAGAAAGAAAAGAGAACACAAAGGTGAGAAAGAATCAGCAGAATTGTATGGACATCTTCAAAATGACGGAGTGGACCAGGAGCTCCCACAGCGGCACCAAGTGGACAATTCTGCTGCTGGTTTTTGAGGACTTACTGTCTACCTGGCTTTGGGAACTTGATCCCATTGGATCCTTGAGGAAAGGCACAGCAGACATCACTCGTGCTCTATGTCACATCCCCAGGCTTCTAGTTTCATCTACATCTGTAGTGGCCAGTTCTGACCCAACTCAGACTAAACCTCACACCAACAGACTCCAACTCAGCCTCGGTTGCCCTCTTCCCTGTGGGAATATGTTCCACAGGTGTCTCAAGAGATTCTTGACCAAAACCCTTATGATTTTTCTGAGTCCTCTGCTCATCTTTCCCGGTATTGCATTCTCAGTGTGAAGGATCCATTTCTATAGAAATAGCACTCACCTAAGTCCTTGCCTCAAGCTGTACTTCCAAGGGAATCCAAGCTAAGACACAATCATAGTACAATCCCTACTTGACAGCTGAGAAAACTGAGGCTCAGAGAAATTCAGTTCAGTGTTGGAAGGGAACAGAACCAGGGTTTGAGCTCAGACCTGGGAGGCACAAAAATATGTGTGTTTGCCAGGGGCCAGTGCTGCCTCTTGGAACACAGAGACCCTTTGTACCACCTCTACCCCTTTCTCTATCAAATCATGCAGACATCTCTCCACAGGTCTTGTGTTAGAACATTCCTGTTCCATGTCTTTGAGGGGCTTCATGAGACCCTGCTTGCCTCTGGAAAAATCCACCTCGATTTTGAGTTCTATAAGGCTTGTAGTGCAGGAAATTCAGTTCCATTCAGGCAGTCTTGAGAATTCACAATGTGCTATTTGTTGCAGCACTAATTGCCAAGGATAAAATAATGAAAATAGAGGGGCTCCACTTCTCAAGGAGACTGCAGTGGGGGAGAATAAAACATAAATCAGTGCTGAGTGAAGGATGTGCTTGATGCAGCTCATCCTTGTGGAAATAGCTGGGGGTGAGGTAGGGAAAGGTTATCAGAAAAGATTTCTAGGACCCTACCTTTCAAACTTGTATGTGCATTCAGATCACTTAGAGATCCGATTGGAAAGCAGACTGATGAGGAAGTCTGGGCCAGCACTTGAACTTCTGGTCTTCTGACTGTCATCTTTCCCATGAAGGTGCTGATGAGACTGGCCCACACTGTGAGTAGCAAGGTGTGCAGTGTTCCCTGGCCTTTGTCTTTAAAAGCTGAACACATTTCTCTAAGAGAACATAGGTAATCATGGTTCTTAGTAAATGCCACCCAAGTATCAAAAAGGTTGGCTAGAAGGATATTAAAACATACAGCAACCTACTCCATATAATTCACGATCAGGTAGCAACTCGGAAATGTTTTTAGGGAAGGCAGTAAAAATCTAAATATAATGCCCATGTTAAGCACTTTTTTACAAGAAAAAAAAACTCATAAAATGAGGGGTTGTGAATTGCATCTCTTCTTACCTGTGGTTGTATTTCTAATTGAATTGCAAGTAGAAAAATCCTCAGACCATAGAGGTTCATGAGTCCAGAGGCCTTGTAGAGGCCGTATCCTACCTGATGTCCAAACAGGGCTGTTCGTCCATAAATATTCATAATTAATAAAATAATAACATTTATCTTTTCAGCACCCAATATGTACTCATACTTTATATCGATAGGATAGAACTGAATACACACAACAATCCAACCAGGTACTACGATTAACCCCATTCTATAGAAAAAGAAACACAGGCTGATATTTAGGTGGACTGAAGGTGAGGACTCATCCCTCCAAGTAAATAGTGGAGCCAGGCAGCTGGCTTTGAGTTTAGGCATCTAGGCTGGAGTGTGTATGCTGGTATGCAAGGATAACTTCTAACATAAGATGTAATTATGGCATATAAATGCAAGAAAAATGTATCAACTTACTAATTGCAAGATAAATATATTTAACTTACTAATTAGTGAGGAAACCAGTAGTTGTTACAAATAGTTCAAAAAAATTCAGAGGGCTCACGAATTTATGAGACATGAACTTCCAAGGGGTTATAAAGCCAGAAAAGCTGTTCA